ACCGCGTCTGCCACGGCCGCCTGGGTGGGCAGGGGTTTGTTCTCGTGCTGTTGCACGGGTGGCAGAAAAAGTAACTTAAAAGCTTGTATTTGCACACTGATTGATGCTATATTTACGTTTATTAAATGTTACAAGCACTCACTTAAATACCATAGATGCGTTGTAGGCATCTATAGCGCTACAAATGCGGGGATCACACGAGTAAAAATGTTAATAAATAGTACTGACTTAACAATTGGTTCGACTTCTGTATTAGTTCATTTTCTAGATTACAAGTGAGACAGTAAAACAGCGTCCACCATAATACAGGTCCGACAGCACAGTAATTGAGTGTTCATTCAAGTAGTATTAAAAACATATCGCGCAGATGGCTAAAGATCCCCTGCCCTGAGCTTTCCACCTCCCATAGGATGCACAAGTTACCGAACAAGAGCCAGAATCCCTGCTCCTCTCACTGAACTCAAACCGCCGCCTGTGCTCAAGACCTGATTGCTACACGCTTTCTCGGGATGTGCTATGGACATGAGCTAATTTAAAAGGGCACTGTAGGTTATTGTAAAGAACAGCACCAGTTACTTCAACAGTGAGCCTGAACTTTTACACTCCATTTTTTCTAACGCATTCAAAAATCTCTAAAAAATTAGGACTCGTCTGAAGCCCTAGGCAGAAGTCTCAATGACTCGTTTATGCCAGATCAGCACATACTCTACTAGTGTGTCAGAACTGAAGGCTTTTTATCTCTTCGCAGTTAGGCTGAGGAGGAGAAGCAGCGTATCGCTCGCTTGCAGGGTGCCCAGAGGGAGAAAGTGGACTCTGGCTTCCAGTGCCTGAGCTCCAACCCCGGAACAGCACTGTCTTTCACCAACGTTAAGCACCTAGTTTAGAAGCGGCAGGCGGGTTAGTCCTTGCCTTGTTCTTACATCCTTTCACCAACTTACGACTGTCGGTGACAGGATACGGGCTGGAATGAACCTCAGGGCCAGCTGTTCTACTGCACTGAAAAATTACATACACACGTTGAGTTCCCTGCAGTTTCATTCAATACAAAGATCACCTTCATCCTCTCGCGATGCTGTCCTTTAAATCTCCACCTGCCTTTGAACAATTCTCGGCTGTGGAGATTTCCAGGAGAAACAAATTCACTTTATTTCTTTTGCTCACTTGTCCAGCCCACACATTTCAAACAGCATCAGGGCTCAATTCCCCACACCTCTTTACAGTTCAGAGTCTCCGAACAAATTACACGGCATCCTTAAATAGCTCTCAGTGGGACAGCTAACGAAGCAAAACGCTGAACCCATGCACACGTGAGCTTCTGACATAGTAAGGTGACACAAAAAGACATCAAAACAAGAACTATATGTACACCACAGAACTTCACATCACTGCTCAGAGTTGAGTGCCGCCTGCTACCCAGCAGTCAAATGTAAATAACAGTACAAAAATGTGAAAAAAACAAAAAAATGTTGAAAATGCTTATGATCAAGAAAAAGAAATATTATAAACTCAGGGCTTACCTGCTTGGAAAGGTGCTTCCATTGTATCCGATAAATCCAATAAACCCAAAATTTCATTTTTGGTGGGAGTGCTGGTGTAGGAAGTTCCCACCCCCCCCATGGCAGCCCTGCATCATCCCTCCCTCTCACGCCAATGTCTAACAGCTGTTTCTGCTGCCATTTTATAAGCTGGACTGGGAAACTGATCTGGGCGAAAAGAGCCTCTCTGCTCCCCAAGGCATTTCTTTATTTGGATCACCACTATTGGACCGCGCGGGCCCACAGCAGCTGAAGCAGGACCGGGTGAGGGGCAGCAAAGGCAGGAGGGAGC